CCGGGATTTCTTTTCAATGTATCTGTCCACAATTACAGGCATATTGACTTCTGCGACCTTTTGGGACATTCACACTGGGACTTTGGGCAACTTGGGGCACACTCACACTCTTGACTATCCTTATGGTATATACTCACACTGAGACCCTCTGGGATATACTCACACTGCGCCCCGCATGCCGCGGCATCGCCGCGGCGCAGCTCTGACTTGGTACTATAATTATTAATCGGCAATTTGCGTTTGGTTCATTTCTTGATGCAAGCAGCATCACTGTTTCTATTTCTATTATTATTATTATTATTATTATTATTATTATTATTAATTGGTAATCTGGGTCATTTCTTGATTCAAAGCATGTCATCCATCAAAGGGGTCCTGGTAGTTAATCTTCTCGGTACGCTTCCAATTTAAACGGATGTCCCAAAGGATGACGGTCACATTTAAAAAGAATTGAAAGGAAAATTGTCATCACATGCTTATCATCTAGTCCACTTCCCATAGACAGGAACAGGATTGTGTCTACATTCGTAATTCTGCTCTGCGAAAACTTGAAACCATCACTACGTCCGCACCTCTTTTTGAGGACACACACACACACACACACACACACACACACACACACACACACACACACACACACACAGAGGGAGTACAGGGCAGGGGAGGAGGGGACAACGGGAGCGGAGTGAGGGTGGAGGGAAAGGGATAGAAGGCAGAGTCCTATAGCAGTATGGGTTAGGGGAGGTGAAGGCAAAGGGCAGGGGAGAGGTGTGTATGACGAGCTTCGCAGAATTTTAAATATTCACCACTGGAACAGACTACTCTAGAATGGCACAGGATCGCAAAAAAAATTGTGGTTTTAGTAGTTAGTGCAAGTGGCCACCCCTACGGACCGGACAGGACCGGTTCGGGTGTGGGATTGAGTAGAGTGGCCACCCCTATGGACCGGACAGGACCGGTTCGGGTGTGGGCTATGGAAGCACCACATCCAATTTTCGCAGTCACAGTTGCTGCATCGAATGGCACGGTGCATACAGATGTCACAGGCTACACAGCTCCTACATGCTACGAACACAGGCACGTCGACCGACAATTATACGTGACTCCTACATGCTAGGAACACAGAGGCACGTCGACCGCAATTATAGAGGCATTGCCGTTCCGAGAGAGAGAGAGAGAGAGAGAGAGAGAGAGAGAGAGAGAGAGAGAGAGAGAGAGAG